CAGAGTCTTTGGCCTAATTTTTGAGCAATTTTTAAAATTCATGAAATTCACAAGAACATTGTGACTAATGTTTGGAGTTTTTTTTATGTTAAAATGATTATTCTTTACTATATAATTCATGCTCTTGGGCCCAACTTTGAAGCAAATTAGTTTACTATTGCAGTATATGCAGACTCTAAGTTCTTGTAAGTAGTATATTAATATACTGAATAGGGCACTGGAGGAGGATCATTCTTCATTCTGTACTAATAAAAGTGTTGATAATTGTGGCAACACTGACACTGAAGGACTGCTAGTATTAAAGGACATTGCAGCTGCTGATCAAGGAATATACGTGTGTACAGCTACACTGGAAAATGTCACTAGCTCTGTGATTCGACAAATTCAAATTGGAGGTGATTATTAAAATAATTATTTGTTACTATAATCATTAATTATAATCAGAGCCTCCTGTGATTGAGAAGAGTCCTATTAGTGTGGTTGCTCGTGATCCTCCATCTTATGTTGTTTTTGAAGCAGCAGCAAGAGGGAACCCACCACCAGTACTGAAATGGTATCATAACTCAAATGAAATTGACTTCAAAAATACTACAAAGTAAATCAAAATTGATAAGTACACTAATCTAATATTACATTGATTGTAATAATACAATGAATACTTGGATTAAATTCTTTATTATTATTATTACTATATGTTTTATTTCCATGATATTACATATATTTAATCATTATTATTATTATAGGATGTATTTGACCAGTACTGGGTCATTGATTATATTGGGTCCTCAGTTTGAAGATAATGGTCAATATAAAGTAGTGGCAGACAATGGAGCTGGCTCAGTAGAAGCAGCTGCCAGTCTTACAATATACTTCAGTAAGTGCTACTATTACTGTAGAGAGTAGTGGATACTGTGTAGCAATAGGGACAGTGTACACAATAGGCGACAAACCTGAGCAAAGCATTTTGAAGTGACAAACTATTACATTATGCACATCTACATGCAGGCCCACTGAGAGGGGGGGGGGAGCAGGGGATAAATCCCCTGGGCCCCTCACTTCAGGGGGCCCCATAATAATGTACATTATAATTAAAGTATAATAAGTCATCTTTTAATACATGATTAAACATGTGCCTTTCTGGTTTTTAAACTAGCAAAATGATCTATGATATAATCAAAATTTAGCTGTTCTGCAAGTTTGCTTTTAATTGCTAGTGTTCCTAAGTCAGTCAATCAATTTTCGGTCATATTTGAGCATTGGTAGTTCTTGTCATTTAATTAATATCCCATTCGCCCTAAAATGCACGCACAAAATATATACAAAATATATACAATAAGCCCTGCACATCACCCCAAAGGGGCAAAAAGAGGGAAGGGTTGGTAATATTGTATGGGCCACACCCCCTAAGCTTGCGGTTGCAAATGGTGGTCAAACTGAACCCAAGGCTTAAACACTAGTTCAACGATGTGAAGCTAGTGGCCAGTTCATGAAGCAAGCTGGCCCACCCTGGCTGCAATGTATGCCTGGCACCTAAACAAGTGCCGCCAAAATCTAACTCTTACCAGCTGAACCAACTA